TACAGATGGATATTAAGTATGCGCAAAGTTTAGATTACAGCTAGCATGTTTCCGTTACAAATTCACTCGGTTAATCCAGCGAAACGACAAACGAATACAATATCAGTCGAAAATATTTACGAACAAAATAAAATTTACAAATTCATAGAATAGGTTAGAAACGGATTATGAACATCCTAATAATAGATATCAAACGAGATAGCAAATAAAACATAAATCAAATTTCTATTGTTGAATGAATCTATATGAAAATTAAATAAAAACAACTATAAAGAAAAAAAATAATGAAATTACGAGGCCTAATTTTCATGAATATTAAAAACAAGATATATCAATAACGATTTCTTTTTGAACATAATCGAATTGTTATAAATGTTAATAAACAATTGATATAATCTCTTCACTTGTAAAGATTATAAAATGTATACATTGTCTTAGAAAAAAGCGATAATGTGATGGTATATGAACTATAGGAAATGTGAAAAAAACAATTAAATATAAAGTTTTTAAGATTTGCGACATTTTCAATGATTTTCGTTTCACGATTGTTAAAATTAAAAAATGTTTTAAAATTCTATTAATAATATCTTAGAAAAAAATAATAATAATGACGAATAATACAATAATGCATTTCTAATTTTCAAACCGACTTTATACGAGTCTTCGAATAAGCTAACCTAAAACATCGATTATTTTGACAATATTTTGTCGAACAGCGATGAATCTTATATAAACAAACATGACAAATGATAAAGAAAGATATATGAAAAGTTTTACCTTAATATTATAAATTGATTTCGAATTATTAAATACTCACTTTTTCTACCAGACGACTACTCAGTTCTAATGGATCTCTCTCGAATGCTCGTGTACATCGAAACTGTTTGAATACACATTGAATCATAGTTTCGTACACAATACACTATAAAATGTAAATTGTTTAATTTCATTATGTCATTTTCGATATTTATTAGTTACGTATCAATTAAGTAAATTAAATTAAATTAATCACTAAATGTAAAATTGCACAATAAACTACTTTGATAAAATTAAGATGGCTGCCTTGTCACGAACCTGCAAGTCAATCGATAATCGATTTCTTACTACCAAATGCTATTAATCGATAATGACAACGATACGAAAGTGATGGATTAAAAAGTCGATATATGAAATATTTCTATCGATTGTCATATTCATTTAACACTTATTTGTAATAATAATTGTTTTTAGATAACCTGTACAATATTGAACTAATAAAAAATAATTATCATAAATATATAAAATATTGTTCAATCTTACGTGTGCAACGATTACCAACAATTCCATGCAACGTTACATGCTTATTTTTCTATAATTTTTAAAACTTCCGATTGATTTTGTGATATTTACAATCGATAATCTCCGATTCGATATTTTAAGCAATATATATATTGCATATTATATTTAAGCATGTTCCTTTATCTCTATATGATATATATCATTGTTTTTATGTACATCCTTATAAATATTATCTCTTAACCTATACATGATTTTTTTAACCTCAAACTATAGTTCACGAACACAAGATCTAGACATAAACATGATACAATAGAGATATATGGCAATATGATTGTATTCTTGAAAGATATATAAATCATAGAAATGATTTCGATATTCGATAAAAGACTTTTTAACCGACACGACGTACTATTCGATTTAGATCCACAAAGAACGCGCCACGCCCTGCTTTCGACGTTGCCGTGTCCGCGATGGACGGCCCGCATAATGAGAAACACGAATCAGTGGCCTCATCGTTCTCCCGTATCTTTGGTCGCGTGCGCTGCGGCTACGTGCGCGTTTGCCCTTGCTTATCGCGTTCTTGCGCAGCTTTAATTAGCTAGCCGCCATCTCTTGGTCACTACTGTATTTTTACGTATTTTCTCATTTTTATTATCTATTTTGTTCATATCCCTTTTATAATCAAAGACCGTATAGTGATTTCAAATTATATACATATAACTTATTATATATATATAACATATTATATATATGTAACTTATGCGAATTAGTGATCCATAGAATATATTTGTCAAGATCGCAATTGTAATATATATATCTTACGATTACGCAATTAGTACTAAATTCTAAAATTAAATTAAAATCATCTTTCATCTTTAATTTATTATAAATCACTATATAAATGAAGTAACAAATCTAAAAATTTCGCATTTGAACTACATTAAAATCTAAAAAAAATTTAAAATTACTTTAAATAGATTTCTTTAGACGATATTCAAGATTAACGAGTTACTTTAAAAATGTGAAGCAGCAACAACGATAACAAAGAACAAAGAAGAGTATTGCTAATGCAAAGGAAAAAAGAAAAAGGAGGGGACGTGCCATAAGCTGCGTACCCGCGGCACGCCATCTATATTGGCTTTGTGTATTCCATGGTTGCGCAATAGCGCGCGACTTGAGAAAGCCGATCGCGCGACGTTGGTATTTTTGCTTTTGTGCATCGGTCATAGGGTTGCGTATAACACTTCGTATAACAATTGATTGCTCTTCAAAGGGAGGCGAAACTCAAATCAGACGGGAAAAGAGAGAAGGGGAAAAACGAAGTCGTAAAAGAGGGTACGCAACATCTATCCCGCCAACAAGCCGCCTGAACAAGGGCACAGAGACGGATTACGAACATTTCAACCAGACGGAGTGAAGGGAGAAGGGTGCAGAGGATGGAGGGAGGACGGAAGACGTAGACAAAGAGACGAAGAAAGGGGAAAGGTGCATGCGATGAGAAAGGGTGGGGAAGAGGAAAGGAAAGGAAGATCGGTCTCTTGGTGCAGAGCGTAGTGGTTATAAAGAGAAGCGGCATCGCTGCACGGCTACTTGGCTCTCCAGGGCCAGGATATTTCAATACCAACGGTGGTCGGACACCGCCGACGTAGAGAGGGGAAATGCTTGTGACGATGTGCGCTCGTACATATATATATATATATATATATGTAAATGTATATATGTATTTCTCCTTGTGCCCCTCACCCACGTGCCCGCCCTACGCGACAGCATATACGCGATATATACGGCTTTACACACCCGTGGGCGTTAAAGAGAAAGAAGGAAAGACAGAGAACGAGATATGACCGGTGGCACGGTAGTGCTCCGCTATTCGGGTTTCCTGCACAAGGGGAAGAGTGCTGGAGAGGGAGAGAATTTGCTGTCTCTGTTTTAACATACACAGAGGGGGAAAGTTGCGGCAAAACGGAAAGGCTGTTGTCGAGGGGAATACAGGGACGCGCGCGGTACGGCAATGGGGACCTCGAACTGAACCGTCGACTGACGATTGTCCGTGAGCCCGCCTTCTGGACGAGTCGAGGGGAATGGACGTGGGCTGTGCCACTCGTCGATTGGTCGCCGTACTGTGCGGGGTTAGAAGCATTGGTGGCGCTTCGAGAATCCCACCAATCGAGCGCCACTATCGTGGCTTTTTTATCCTGCTATTTACGCTGAAGGACGGAGAAGAGCAGGCTTCCCCATCTAACTCTCTCGCTCCTTTTCTATCCCTCTCCTTTTCCTTCGCTCAACCGCTCTCCCTGTGTGTTCGTCGACACAGGAGAGGACACTCTCATTTCGGGATCCGTTGAGGTTGCACACGTTTTCACATACAGCGCCGCCCGTTTATTGCGACGCGCTATATTCTACGTCGATTTTATTCGATACGGTGTGTTATCGTTACAACGAGTTTGCGATTTTGTCAGATAATCCGATTTAAACGTCTGTTTACTGTAAAAGCATCGTATGCGACAGCCGAAGCCGTGCGGTAGTGTTATGTAGTGTGACAGTACGTCGCAAGAGGATACAGTGTTGTCAAATCGTGGGCGCGAATACAGCAAAAGCGGTATCTCGATTTGTGAAATATTGTAATTAAACTATAAGTGTGTTTTTAGAAAGACACAGCGATTGACTTATTCAAATTGTAATATTAAGTGATAAATATAACGACGACATAGTAGATTTTTAAGTTTATTGTATAATACGCTAGTGACATTTGGTGCGGTGCTATCGACGAAATAGAGTTGGCAACGTTGCATCGACTACTCTCATACACAAATATACGCATACACGTACCTAGAAGGGAACTTGGGGTGGCTGGCTAGCAGGCAGGCGGCAGGCAGGCAAGCAGGCAGGCAGCTTTCTTGTTCCGAGGACGGCGCTCCTGGTCGTGCCGTCTCTCTTTTCTACCTCCATTGCGCTTGCTCTTTTCTCCCTCTTCTCCCTACCCCTCTCGTCCTCGGTCACTCAATCACACTCTCCTCCTTTTGCTTTCTCTCTTTCTCTCTCTCATGTGCGGCGCACGTACCGTTGAGAGTTTCTCCCTTCCCCTTCGATACTCTTTCTCTACCGTTACCCCCTCCCCTTCTAACCTCGAGCGGGTCGGGCGAGTCCACTAAACTTGCGAGGGGAGTTCGGCAGACCTCGGCTCTAGTCGGCCTCGATCCGCAGAATGTGCTAGACGCTGTGAGTCGATCGCTCCAGTTTTTAAATATTTGCATATAAAGAGACTGTAGAGCGTTCACGGGGCTTGAAAACGGTTTTCCGCACTTCGTACGCGGATCCACAAGTTGCTAGTGCCTATACCGACGTTAATTTTCACCATCAGTTTGGGACGCACTCGATCAGCGTATATCCGTACGACGGCCATGTTTGGTGTTTACGAGGTGAGGGGGAATTGCTGACGTCACGAACCCCGATCTTGCACGAAGGGAGCAGCAACACCAGCAGAAGCAGAAAACGTGTTGCCGGCCAACACAGACACCAAATCTAACACAACTTCGAAACAAAACGAAACGCAGTCGAGTATCTCGAGTGCTCGACGAATATCGTACACAAGATTATTGTGCGTGAACACACGAAGAAGAAACTCAGGCGCGCAAACTGTGCCGCTTGAAATTCCCTTTCCGATGGGACGCGCGTTTTTTGTGTTTACATATGGTGTTACATTACTCAGTGGTGTATTTCAGTGACACGCATCACTTTCTTATTGGATATATTAACAACTTTCATACGCATCTAAAGAACAAGGATTAAAACATCATGGATCTAGGTGACAGAGTTTACGCTGCGGAACGGATTACGAAGAAGAGGGAAAAGCGGGTAAGTAAGAGAACTGCGAACCGTCACCGGCAGATAGCGCCACTATATGGAATCTGTTTGTCTATGCGCCGTTGCCGGTTCCTCCCCTCTTCATGATCTTTCTCTTTCCCACTATCATTCCGACAATTTTGCCCCTCCCGTGGTGATTTCTATCGTATGTGATGCTCTCGATATCTCTCTTTGAACTCGAACAAACACGTTTTATTGATAATCATTTAACATAAAATATATTTATTTATTTTTTTATATTCTATTGTAAACAAAATCTTAAAAATCTATTTTAGTTCATTTATTTATCTGTTTAAGATATTATAAGTTCTATATTTTCTATAAGGATACATTTATAAAAATATTACATTTATTTTTTCCGTCAAAAATTTTTAAATTATCATATTTTCATCGTATACATGATTAGTAATTTTGATTTATTACTGCATGAATCTTTATAGTAATATATTTTAAAACAGTCACAATTTATACAAGAATTTATGCGTTTTTACCATACCGGTAATCTTCGGAGTAAAATAACGATACTGGTTGAAATTGGCAACGTTGTAAATCGACATAAAACACGCGAGTCTTCTCAGCTGCGAACGGCTCATGCGCGATAAACCGACGTGTCCTATACCTGCACAGTTATGTCATTGTTTTTCAACTGTCACACTGGCTGCGCACCTCGATCGGTCGGCATGCTTTCGTTCGTTGGCCGACGGCCAATAGGTGAGTCGTATAAGCAGCTCTCGTAGAAGTCAACACCGCCCGTTTTATCGACCGTACACTTTTACGAGATAGATTCGAAAATCCGTTGTTTGACGCAGACGCGCGAAATGGATCTTTGCGATCAACCACATTTCAATATCGTAATCAACGAGGACTGGCGCCAAGAGTTTTTTTGTCAGTCGGATGAAATGGAATAAAAATTGTAAACTTGTTTTTTATTTTAAATTCTCGTTATATTTATATATATCAAATCAAATCAAAATTATCTATAATTTTATAAATTAATTTCCATTCGTATTACGGTATTTTTTCAAAAATTACAAAAATCGTCTGGATTTCGAACATTGTTACCAAATGTTAAGAATTTTCTTCTTTTTTTTTAACGGATACTTTTTATTGAGAAATAAAGGGATAATTTAAAAGATTCATTGATATTATGATTGATGTTTTAATATTTAATATTAAATGATAATTATTAAAAAAAAAATGAAAAAATATATATCTTTTTCGAATTCTTAAATCTTTATTTTATAGAAATTATTTGTTTGCATAATATGATGACAGATGAAAAATATAATAAAAATGTTCAAATTTTTAAAAAAATTTAATTCTTATTGTACTTATTCATTGTATTAACTATAAATATAATATTAAATATAACATTTAAATTGATAATCCATAAACATTTTTATAGTTAAACATTGAAAAAAATATATGACAAATTAATGAAACGTGTTTATATTTATATTATTATTTATTTAATAATATTTTCACAAATTTAAAAAAAATATAAAAATTCATCAAATTTTTATTTATAAATAATTGTTTAAAAATATTACGAAAGCTATATATATATAATTATCAAATTTAATTTTCATATTTATTAATTTTTTGCGTAAATATTTTTTTGTAATTATAAATCATTTTTGTTTTTTATAGGGTAAAGTAGAATATTTCGTAAAGTGGAAGGGATGGAGCAAAAAGTAAGTGAAAAATAAAACTGATAAATATTATGTGACTCCTTCAAATAAATTAAGAATATAATTTTTCTCTTTACAGATACAACACATGGGAACCAGAAGAGAACATTTTAGACGTCAGATTAATCGAATTATACGAAGAAAGTCAAAAAGGTGGAGATGTAACTACAAGAAGACCTAGACGGAGGGATACTAGATATAGTGTAAATAATTATTCATATTTCTCTAAAAAATAATATTATTTTCAACTTTAATTTCATAAAAATTTCCATGTAATATATATATATACCTATTATATCTATATATTTTCAAATTATAAATTATATGATCATTTTTTAAATTTTGGATCAAATAAAATAAGTTATTAAGAATTAAATTTATATTGAATATTATATTAATTTATATTGAATTTTTTAAATTTTTAATCAAATGAAATATGTTATTAAGAATTAAATTTATATTAAATAATATTATATTCTTAAATTTTTTAAAATTAAATAATTTTTTATTATTTTCTACAATTTTTGAAGAATTATATGATAATATATATAAACGTTATAAAATTAAACATTTCCTCGTATATCAGGAACATGTTTTGGCCAACATGGTTGTTGAAGAAGAACCAGGTGGAGATGAGAGAGTCGGAGAAGATAGTCAAGACGAATCGACTACCGGTAGCACTTCTGCTCCTCGTCTAAATCCCGTTGCACCTGATGAAGACACGCTTCCGAGTTCTCTCGATGGGCACGAATCGCCCACAGCTCCAGAATTATCGGCATCCGCTTTCAGCGTCGATTCAGATAGTTCCAATAGCAGTGTAGATAGTCCTTTATTGCCCAGGAGAGAACCGAGTGGTACAAAAAGAAAAGCTGAAGTTCTTAGCAAAGAATCGGGAAAAATTGGTGTTACTATTACTACAAGTCCAAGTGGAAGTCCTCCACCAAATAAGATTCCTCGACTATTGCCACTAAAGAGTAATCCAACATCTCCTTCTTATCACGTAAGTATTCATTCACATTCCTAAATTGTTATTAATTGTTGTAAATTGTTGTAAATTTATTCTCTAATAATCGCTTAAAATTTATTTTTGATTTTAAAATAATTATTAAAATGCATGTTGTAATAATGTTTTTGAAAATTTTTCTACATTGAAAATTTGAAATTTTGAAACATTTATAATAAAAATTATAATAAAAAAAACTTTATAATAATTAAGACATTCTAAATTTCATTCCAGAGTCACAAAGTTAATGGTAGAAGGCCATCATCATCGAGTGTGAAGTCGACACCAGAAGAACCGTTGCCAGCAATGCCAACAACGCCAGCTCCTGCAGTACAAGAGAAAAAGCGTGCCGAAGCCGATGTGCCTCATGGTCCTCCACCCTCGTTGCCACGTGCACCACCCGCACCTTTATCTCCTCAAATAGATACTCCTTTGGAACAGCCTAGCAAAAAGAGGCACTTGTCCGAGCAAAAACAAGAAAAATCGAACGGAACTGTGGCGGTAGATACGAATGGTCATAAGTCACCCAGTCCTACGGATTCATACACGAATAACAACAGGTTATCAACTGTTGTTAATGGGCATCATAGTCATAACAATAATAATAACCATACCAACAATAATAACAACAATAATAATAATACATCGAGCGTGAAACAAACAGAAATTACAAAAACAGACATGTATATTCCTCTCTCGAGTCCTGGTACGGATTATTGGCATGCAAGGAATCCAGTTGCCGATCAAGTGTTCATTACAGACGTGACGGTGAATTTGAAGACCGTTACCATCAGGGAGTGTAAGACTGAAAAAGGATTCTTCCGGGAGAGAGATCCGAAGAGCGATATCTATTAACAAGTTCTGAATAAGGACGCTTTATTGTGAATTTCTAATACTGAACCACGCTTGTAAATATAAATTATTTTCACACGTTGAAGTGTAGAGCCGAAGATGGTTATATATATATGTAATCATATAGTATGTGACGATATTGAGCTATATATATATATATATATAAGAACGTTTTTCTAAAGAAGTAAAACGGATTTTTTTGTGGTTATAAAGAAGATCAAAGTTATGCGTAAATTATGACAAAATATATTAAAATTTATAACTCGCAGTTTCTGGTATATTATGTATTCTGAACGAAGTTCCAAGAACTTCCAGAAACAAAAAATATGAGAACTTAAAATTCAATATTATGGATACGATATCCTGTGAATTTTATTGCAAACAAAATTGAATAGTCAGATTTCCAGTATGTTAAGTGAAAAATTATTGTGTGATTATCAATGGATAAAAGATAGTAAGACTATCATCATGCGACAACCTTATGCAAAAGAACAACGGTACGTCATGAGTCGCTGTCATGTCGTGATATATACTTGTACATTTTTTAAAACGCTTGATAGTCCATAAATCTCTGTATTAAAAGACAGAGAAAAATGCAAAAAGATCTGAACGAAACATTTTAGAAGATAAATACATTTTCTCATTGATTGCATTTTCGCTTGTATTAGAACTCTGCAGAAATAATAGTATATCTTGTAAATTAGTTGATTTCAAATTTTACTATGATAAAATAGTACAGATCTGGAAAGAAATATTTTTCTAATTCGTTTTTAGAATAATCAAAGCAGCTTCGTAGAAGCGATTTAAGAAAATATGAAAAAAAATTTTTCGAGTATGGGATTGAAAAAAAAGAACTGTTATCTTAATAACATATTTCTCAACATTATGATATTATATTATATTTAACGATGAATATTCTGATTTTTTTCTCTTTTTCTTAGCAATATTGTGTCACAAAAAAAAAACAAATATTTATTTGTAAATTTTAAATTTGACAAAAGCATTACTGATTTTTTTCAAGTTATAGCATCACAGATATACACACATGGAATTCAATACATATTGATAAAGAAATTGAAAAAGAGAAGAAAAACGATGTACGTTTACCATATACGTACAATATAATAGACGATCATTTTATTATAATCTCTATAACGTGTTCTATATCGGTTATCGGAGTTTTTGTTACGAATCGATGAAGTATTGTTTAAATGTGTTAGCTGTTGCATTTTTTTATACTGTCAAATGTGTTTTCTTCTTTTTTCTTTTTTTTCCTCTTATTCGAATTTAAGGACTGACTGCGCATCATACGTTTTTACGCGTGCGACATTTAATTCCAACGATATATATGTATATGTATATATATATATATATATATTGAGAAGTATTTATGCATATCCTTGCGAAAGCGCCATTTTATTTTTTAAGATAGGTTGTCGACATGTATTCACCAAATAGAGATGTTCCTACCTCGAAAACGGTCATCCTGAACAGAGAATTGAGTACAACAACCAAATTCTAACAATTTTTATCCAAATTAATTAATGTCGCTAAACTTTTTCAAATATCATGATTTACTTTTTTTATTTTTTACTGTTTATTTTACTTTATTTTACTTTTTTTTTTCTTTTTTTCAACGATTTCCACCGTACAATTGGCGCGCGAATGCACCAATTTCAGAACCAGTAAATCCGTGATATAATTATATAATCGTAAAACTTAAAAGAAAAAAATCATATACGTTGCTTATTTATTGTAACTAATATAAAGAAAGAAAAGTTTTTAGGTTTTTACATTCTTAGTATAGTATTATTAGAGACTATATGTACACGATATGTCCTATTTGACGAAAAACGAGCCTCGTTCGAACAAGTTTTCTTTAATATTATTATTATTATAATTTAGAAAGTTTTATTAATTATTTAAAACAATTTAATACATCTCTGCAACGAATGTTAAATATTTAATATTAATATTTTATTCTTTCCCTAATTGTATAATCGATTTTCAGCAGAAATAGGGAATGATAATTTTTATCTTTTTAAATGAGAAATAAAATGGGACTAATTGTGTACAATTAAGTCACGTGATTCCTTACAATTTCTATTGTAAGGGATTTAAATAAACGTTTATTAAATTGTTGTGTAATCCAATTGTGTAAACCAACACATTCTGTATATTAAGAGAGAAATATTCTGTAAAAATTGTAAATAGTCGAACATTTACAACTCTATGATAATAGAGTAAGAAAAGAATGAGTGAGAATGAAAGAGAAACTCGTAGCTTTAGACCTTTCAGTTATCGTAATTGTAAATAGAAAACAAAAGCAAAAACCCCTTTAAGTTGTAAATGTAAAATCACAAACTGCAGGTCTAGAGAATCCTTTTTAGCTTTAGAGACTTTGAGATAGACTGCGCGTACCTTTAACATTGTTTCTGTACTTATAGAATATTCAGACTCTACTTATAATAATTAAAAAAAAAAATACACATACACATTCACGGAAAAAGAAAGAAAGTGAAAGAGCGATTACGCAGGCATATACGATATATGAACCCCGGTAGTACCAAATTCTAAACGGCAATTTTAGTTCTGTCTGGTACAGATTCCTTATATTTCAATAAAATCTTTATTTGAATTTTTGCTCGCGTGCAGTACTTGTTTTCCATCCACTCAAAGCCGAATAATCTATGCGCTTTATTTATTAATGCAGTTTCTAATCTGATCTGTTTTTCTCTCTTTTTCTAAGTTTTCATTTATGTTATTATAATATGTAAAGTTAAGGGAGAATAAAGCAACAGTTACTCGAAAATATTTTTTTGAACAGAGTATATGTTATGTTTAATATTAATATAATCAGTATTTTATTATACATATTTTTCTTTTCTTTTTTTTTTTTTTTTTTTATTAACAAAAATATTAGATAAATAATATTTACTATCAATATTTTATAATGTAAAAGAATGCAAAGAAATTTAAGAAAATAGATCACACATTAATTATTTATTGATTTTATATTTTTAATTAATACCGATAGAGTTGATAAATAATAACTTATCATTGTATAAATTTTCTACTTTTTAAAAATAGATAAACTGTTTTACCAATATAAGATATCATTATAAACATATATAAATAAAAATATCGGTTGTTGTTATTCAAAAAGTTAATTGCACAAGAATAAATTTATAATAACTTATTAATTAATTATAATATTACAGATAAGTTGATAGTATTCGTAATATATAAAGATAATTCCAAAACAAAAAATTTTAATAAATTAAAAATGGTAAATTATTTCTAATTTAATAAATTATATTACATCAATAAATTTTAAAATTAACAAAATATTAATAGAATATTAAAAATTATAACATTTACATTTTATATTTTAAAATATATGGTAGAAATCTATAAGTAACTACTTATATTGTTATCGATAAGCAAGTGTGTAATCTTACCATCAAAATAGAGTACTGAATGAAAGAAAATCAGTTTTGCCAATTTTATCATTGCGTTATCATTCAGACACATTAAATACACGTTATATTTTTTAAAATTCCATAAAAATTTTGTGTTCAAACACCAAATTATATATATTATTATTGAAAATAAATGAAAAGCTGTTATTGTGCCATTATGCTATTTATTAACAATAAATCACATATTTTTTCATGTTTTCTTATTCAAAAAATGAATTTAAAAAAAAAGCAAAAAAAGAAATAAAAAAATATTACAAACGGAATTATAAGGATTCCAAAAAAAAGTAAAAAAATTAAGAATTGAAAATTAATGTTATTTTATTTATTTTTTTTTTTAACTTATATTGCTTTAGGATTTCAAGAGATGGCGCTAATTATTTATTCTTATTCTATTTCTATCTTTCTTTCATTCTTTTTTATTTTTTCTTTCTGTTTCATTTGCAGCATTCTAAAGATGACCTTGATTTTAATATTTTTTATTTAATCTTTATCTTTTTCCTATTATTTTCTTTTCTTACTATTTTTAAATCAATATTTCAGAATTGATCCTCATTTTTTTTAGATGTCACTAAATATAATTATATTTGATATAATTGATAAATATTTTTTTAAACTGATTGCATATTTTTGAAATAATATATTTTGTTATTTATATTTTTATATTTTTATTTGTAATTTTTTATTAAATATATAAGAATCATATATAAAAACATAAATTTTATTTTAATGAAAAAATATATAATTTTCTTATAAAGATATATCTAGGTATTTTTTTGATACAGTTGTATAAATGACATATGAAGTTTGCTTCAATATGTGGATGCAACAAGATACCATGTGATTAACATTTGGTTTGGTTAATTATATTAAACACGTGTAGTTGTCAAAATATAATTTTTTTACATATATTTTATATTTTGTTATGTTATTAATATATGAGTTGTATAATACCACATGTAATTATTAGGAAATTTATTGTTTTACGAGTTAAATAACAAAATGCAAATGAAATTGAGTACACGGCGCCAATCTAAAAATATTGAAATAATAGATGTAGATGATTTAATTCTTACGAGAAAAGGTGGAGGTAGTATAATTGATCAACGACCAATTTTTTCTCATGATGGAGAGTAAGTTTTAATTTTATATTAAATATGAATAGTTTTTTTTAATATTTTTTAATAAAATTTTGCTTTGGGAACTAAAAAACCTTAAACTTTTAGTACTTTTATCATTTTTTCAGTTATAATTTTTCAATTAATTGGAATAAAATTAGATTTAAATTTAATTAGATTTAAATTTAAAATTAGACTTAAATTTTAAGTTCATTATCCAATTTATATTATATTATATACATTTATTATTACAGATTATTGTATATAGTATGGAAACATGTTATAAGAGCATATAGTACACAAACTGGAGATTTTGTAAAAGAATTAGAACCAGCAAATTTTAGAATTGCAGGATTAATTGTACATCCTGAAAATCCTAATCTAATCATTGCTTGCACAGAAAATGGAGAATTAAATTTTTGGAGTTGTCAAAGTGGAATTATCACAAAAAAATTAGTATGAATATTAAATGTATTTTATAACAATATATAAAATCATATTTTTTTTCAGAATTTTCATATTTTATTGTTTATTAATTCTATTGTTGTCATTCTTTTTACAGAAATTGAAATTTCAAGAAGAACCAAAAATAAAAACATTTCATATTGTAAATTATAAAACTCATAAAGGAAATGAGTTAAGACAAGTGCTTGTAACATATATTTCCAAATGCAATACTAAAATTTATATAGTTTTATTTGATTTAGATAATGGAGTTTGTACAAAATCCACATGTATATCGTAAGAGAAACTTTCTTTTTAATGAATTCTTTTTATGAATTAAAATTTTCTTCAATTTGTTATGTATTTTTGCTTATTATTGCAGAACAAATTCACATGAATATTATATTGATGTAATTGGAAATCATGGAGAAAACTTAATAGCTATTCTTCATGATGTAGATTTACATATATTAAATCCATCAAGGAATCTTATCGACAAATTGTAAATATTTTTACATAAAAAAATGGAAAATTAAATAAGAATTTAATAAAAAATATTTAAATATTATTTGATTTTATCACAGACACAAAACTGGTAGAACTGGTAGAAGACCAACATGTATTGCTGGACATCCAGAAGAAGAATGTGTTGCCACAGGAGATTCAACTGGTCGTGCAGTAGTATGGAAAGGTTTATTTCAAACAAGACCTTATACAGCTGTTTATCACTGGCATACATTACCTGTTACAGAAATAGTATTCAGTAAATCAGGTATATTTTATATATATATATTTAATATTTTTTTGAATTTCAAGATATATATCTATTATTAAATATCATAGGAGGACATATGTATACAGGAGGAGGAGAATGTGTATTAGTGAAATGGGTTTTAGCAAATCCACATCAAAAATCTTTTCTTCCGCGATTACCTGCACCTATTAAACATCTTACTATAGCTCCAGATAATTTATATGTTGCTGTATCTACTTTAGATAATGGTATAAATATTTTTTAATGTTATTTTATAATTCATTTTCTTTTGCAGTTTACATTATTAATATTTTCTATTAAGAAAGATATATTTATATTTTTCAAATATGTGTAATATATAGGTATTGTAGTTGTAAATCCACAAAGAAAATTGACTTCAGTTATACAAAATTTTACATGGGGTGTAAGTTTATCTTCTAAAGATTTATTTCCTGCTGGTCTTATTGTTGATCCGCGTACTAATTGTTTAGTATTAAATAGTCGCACTGGACATGTTCAATTTTATAACACTCATACAAAAAGTTTATTATATAATGTAAGTAATGATAATAAGATAAAACTCGTAAAAAAAATTTACATGTAACTATTGATAAATTCTTAGATAAATATTACGGCACAAAATTTTTTAACACAAGAACGCAATGCAATTATTGTAAATACGGAAGTTACAAAAATAGCATTAAATAACAATGGTATGTGGATGGCAACTATTGAAGAACGAAATGATAATGTATCATGTATAGAAGTAAGGCTAAAATTTTGGAAATATGATAGTATACAACAAATGTAAGTATAAAAAATATTTTATATATCGATATATAAAAATATATATAAATTCTAAAATAATATATTAATCATTAGGTATGCTTTAAATACATCAATTGAGCTTCCTCATGAAGGTGGTATTAATGCTTTGCATTTTCAACCGAGTACATTATTTGATGAAAATGAAGCACTGGCAGTTACAACTGGCAAAGATAAAAAATTTAAATTATGGCATCTTGTAGAACCTTTATCTATGTTCAGTATGTAAAATTTATATATTTCATTTTTATTTTATATTGTTTTATATCATTTTATATTAAATTTTAAGATTAAATGTGTTGCAGAAAAAACAAAATATTGGCAGTGTCATAGTATAGGAGATTATAGAAATCTACCTGTATCAGATGCTGGTTTCTCGATAGATGGTTCATTAATTGGAATTGGTTTTGATTCTAGTGTGACAATGTGGACTCCAGATACTTGTACATTTAAATGTAGCCTTACACATAGTCAATATCAGTATCCAGTGACGTAAGTATTATAAATAATAATGATATTAATAAAATAATACATTATTTTCATTATTATTTGTATTTTGTTAGACGAATTGAATTTGGAAAACAAGAAGCTTGTCATCTTGTTATAGCAGCTTCCGCACATCACATTGCAGTGTGGAACATTTTATCACTTACATTAATATGGAGCGTATCTTTAAAAGTTGCAACTCTTACAGCAGATCCAAAGTCAACATATATGGCTGTTTTCACAATTGATAATTCATGTAAGTTTAATTTGTCTAACAAAATATCAAATTCGTTTTTAAATAGGAATTAACGAATTAATTTCAGTGTTTATATTCACACCTCAAAAATCGTTACCTATCTATACAAGAAAAAATGTCATTGAAAATAATAGTTCAATTTTGGCAGCCGCTTTTGTACCACACTTACGAGAGAAACGAGATTCATCATATAGGATATGGCAACGAAGGTCACAGCTTTTTTTTTTAGATTCTAATCAAGTATGTAACGATAAATATATAAATATACATAACATGATTTA